GTCTTGTCCTGTCTCACCCCATCATGGCCGCCACTCCAGAGTCTCATTCCGTCATGTCCGCCACTCCAGAGTCTCTTCACTCAGAGACCCCCCACATGATTGTAAAGCGCTTTGGGTGTACAGAAATACACAATAAAGCGCTATATATAAATGCATCATTCATATAAATGCATCATTCAAAATCATTAATTTACATATTTTTGTAGACTGTGTTATTGTAAAACAAAGCCTTATTGAGCTGCTAGACTTTTGGTTAAAATGCTAAATAAAATGCCAAAAAAGTCAGAATTGTGAGATATAAACAGATGAGGTGAGATGTTAATTAACAACTGGGACTTTATAATTTGCAAATTATGCAAAAGAAATTATGCAATTTGCAAAAGAAGAGAAGTAATTGCGAGGGAAAAAATCAGAAATGTGAAAAGTTACATTTACCTTTTTATTTTTTGTTTTGTGGCGGAAACAACAGGACAAAAAAAAAAAATGTCAGAATTGTGGGATATAAACTTAGAACTGTGAAATATAAACTCTAAATTGTGAGAAAAAAGTCAGAATTCTGAATGAATGAATTAATGAGGCATTTACAGTATATAGCGCTCTTATTGTGTATTGCTGTGCACCCAAAGCGCTTTACAATCATATGAGGGGTCTCTCCTCAACCACCACCAGTGTGCAGCATCCACCTGGAGGATGTGACGGCAGCTACAGGACAACGGCGCCAGTGTGCTCACCACACACCAGCTACAGATGGAGAGGAGAGAGAGTCATAGAGCCAATCAAGTGGATGGGGATTATTAGGAGGCCATGATTGACAAGGGCCAGTGGAGGGAATTTGGCCAGGACACCGGGGTTACACCCCTACTCTTTAGGGGAAGTGCCATGGGATTTTTAATGACCACAGAGAGTCAGGACCTCGGTTTAACGTCTCATCCGACAGACGGTGCTTTTTACAGTATAGTGTCCCTGTCACTATACTGGGGCATTAGGACCCACACAGACCACAGGGTGAGCACCCCTACTGTTCTCACTAACACCTCTACCAGCAGCAACCTAGTTTTCCCAGGAGGTCTCCCATCCAGGTTGACCAGGCTCAACCCTGCTTAGCTTCAGTGGGCAACCAGTCTTGGGCTGCAGGGTGATATGGCTGTGGATGAGATTATATCTCACGATTCTTAATTTTTTTCTTAGAATTGAAAGAAATTAAGTCTGAATTGTGGGATAAAAAGTTGCAATTACCTACTTTTATTTCTCCATACATAATGGCCAAATGTACTCTAGTATTACATAGTAGGCATCATACAAAAAATGCTATGTTAATGTGAATAGGGTTGCAAAGGGGTGGAACATTTCCGGAAACTTTCCAAAAATCCCTGGAATATTCCAAAAAATCCTGGAAACTTTCCAAAATTTCTGGAATTTTTCCGAAATTTACTGGATTTTCCACCTTTTTGCAACCCTAAAAGTGAATAATTAATCATGCGAATGTTAATGTGCATTAATATTCAAATATAACAAATATTATAAACTAGACAGCATTCTGGGGTATTTTAGGCATGTGTTTCTAATGGCCCATAATGCTGTCTAGGTAGGTGCTTATTAAAGCAGTTGTTTGTTGCAGTGTTGTTGTAATTGTTTCAGATAAGAATAAAATAACAATCATCAATGTTGAATCTGTTGTGACAGGACGCATTTAATGCGTTTCATCCAAACCTTCAGCTCGTGAGGAAATACATGAAGCCGCTGTTAATTGGGGAGCTTGAGGCGTCTGAGCCCAGTCAAGACCGGCAGAAAAACGTGAGTACGGGGACTTTACTGAAGCATGACAGCTGGTTGAATTTCCATTAATCTGGTTAGGATGCACTTATCGAATTCAGAATTCAGCTATCGAGTGTGACTTTGAAATGAACTGACCACGTTACACAGGAAGTTGAGTTGAAATTCAAATTGGGATGACAGGAATTTACTGAATTACAATTCAAAGAAACTTATCAGGTCATTGCGTTCTGGGAATTGATTGCATCTGTGTTTCCGTAAGGCTTATAAAACCATCAAACTCCAAGACATTTGTAGCTTTTTTTAACACCTTTAAATAAGTCTGTCAAACAGTCATTCTAAGTTCAAATGATGAACTTCTCTTTTCTAAAATTGCTATTAAATGACATACTTATGGCATACTTTAATTACATACTTCTGAATTGTGACAAAAGTCAGAATTGTGAAATAAAAAGTCATAATTACTTTTTTTATTTCATTTTCAATTTTAATTCTACTTCTTTTAATTCAAATTCTAAATTCAAATCCATTCAAACCGAGGAATTGTATTGCAGTTTAAAAGGCATTCTCAATTCAATACTGTGCTGCACAATGTGTTTGATTCCAGAAAGCAGCTATGTGTATTGTATGAGCTCTGGATCATGACCTTCACATCACAGAATGACTGTCAGGCTGTAATTCCACTTCCCAGACAGCCAAATAACAGCTTGTTGACTTAAGAATGACATTAAAGCACAAAAAGCAATGCACCGCTCAGATTAACCTTTGCCCGAAGACACGAGTCACATACTCCAAATTGGCTTTCACTCCTCTTCTGAGTGATTCAACTGCTGTATGTTCACGCCTTAAAAATTCAGGTCATGAAAGTCGATTCACTCCTGCTTTTAAATGCGATTGTCACTCCCTTCACAGTGTGAACGTGGCCATAGAGGACTGTATTTGTTGTCATTTCACCTTTGTTTTCTCTCAGGGGGCACTTGTGGAGGATTTCCGAGCCCTTCGTGAGCATCTGGAGGCTGAGGGGTGTTTCAAAACCCAGCCCCTGTTTTTCATCCTGCATCTGGGTCACATCCTGCTCCTGGAGGCCATCGCCCTGATGATGGTGTGGTACTTTGGAACCGGCTGGATCAACACGGCCATCGTTGCCGTTATACTGGCTACCGCACAGGTATGTTGTTTCATTAAACTGTGTTTAAAAAGAGCAGCAGAATTGGTAACCAAAATCGGTTGCCCTTTGGATGCTGGTGTGCTTAAAGGGTTAGTTCACCCAAAAATTAAAACTCTGTCATTAATTACTCACCCTCATGTCATTCCAAACCTATAAGACCTTCGTTCATCTTCGGAACACTGCGAGAATACTTTTTGTACACAAAGAAAACAAAAATAACAACTTTATTCAACAATTCGTCTCCTCCCTGGTGCCATTTTGGAGAGTATCCACTGAACGCAAACAGCGTATGCTATTCTGTGTCAGCTGCGTCACGTGGCACCAGGGTGACACGGAGGAGACAAATTGTTGAATAAAGTCGTTATTTTAGTTTTCTTTGTATACAAAAAGTATTCTTGTAGCTTCGTAAAATTACGGTTGAACCCCTGATGTCACATGGATTATTTTAACGATCTCCTTGCTACGTTTCTGGACCTTGATCGTGTTACTTACATTGCTGTCTATGGAGGGTCAGAGAGCTCTAAGAATTCATCAAAAATATCTTAATTTGTGTTCCGAAGATGAACGGAGGTCTTACGGGTTTGAAACGACATGAGGGTTAGTAATTAATGAGAATTTTCAGTTTTGGGTGAACTAACCCTTTAACTAGCTTAGCTACCATAACCGTTAGCTGGTCAACAAGGAGTTTTCTTGTAAAGAGCGTAACTGGAAATGTCTTGATGCAAAAATCAACAATGTAAATGTTCATGTTTTTTGTTTGTTTTGATTGTTTGTCTGTAGTCGCAGGCTGGATGGTTGCAGCATGACTTCGGTCATCTGTCCGTGTTTAAAAACTCACGATGGGATCACTTATTGCACAAATTTGTCATCGGACACCTGAAGGTACCAACATATCCTGGCCCGTCTTCACTAAAAATGATTAAAGATGGTTCCAGGAATACAGCTCATTAGCCTAGCTCAGGGGTGGCGACCTCCGGTCCTGGAGAGCCGCAGCCCTGCAGAGTACAGCTCCAACCCTAATTAAAACTCACTTGCCTGTAGCTTTCTAGTAACCCTTCAGACCTTGATTAGCATTTTCAGGTGTGTTTGATTAGGGTTGAAGCAAAACTCTGCAGCACTGACGTTTGCCACCCCTGGCCTAGCTGTAGGTTATTTTCAGTCAGTTGGTTTGTGGTCACATGTTGTTTTCAGGTTTCAAAGCTGTAACTTTTAAGTTTTCTTGTCATTTTGTAACCATTTTCATTGAGGTAACGCAAAGTAAATGTAGGTCATTATACCAAAATAATACAGAAGGTTGGGTCCTTCATGACATTTGCACATTTAGTTCATAACAACGATTTGCCTTTTTTAAAAGCAAAAATGTAAAAGTTCATACAATAGTTTCCACCTTGAAAAGAAGACAGGGTTTCAAGACGCAGTTTTTTACATTTGAACTTCACACAGCATCTTTTTCTGATTTTGAAAAAGTCAAAGTTGAGTCAAAGACATCCTTTGACAATGACCTTTTACATATTTTTTAAATGCAAAAATTTGAAATTCTGAACGATAGTATCCAACTAGAAAAGAGGGCAGGATTTTAGACATTGTTTTAAAAGTTGAACTTCACACAGCATCTTAAAAGCATGGTGCGAGACACTAAAAAATCTGTGGAGCTAAGGCATCCATTTATAACGATGTTTCGTGTTTTTTAAAAGCAACAATGTGAAACGTTGAACAATAGCATCCAAATGGAAAAGGTGGCAGGATTTCAAGACACAGTTTTAAAAGTCAGACTTCCCACAGCATCTTAAAACGTAGCGCGAGACACTGAAAAACCACAGAGGAAAAGGTTTATAGCGATGTTTCGTTTTTTTTTTTTTCTTTTAAAGTGCCCTATTATGGGTTGTGAAAGGTTCATATTTTGATTTTGGGAGTCCCCAACAACAGGTTGACATGCATGCAAGGTCAAAAAACACTTTCATTTTCTTATAATATGCATTTATTTTTACCTTAGTTGCTCAACGACTCCCAAACGATTCGCTCAACGATTAATTTTTCCAAACCCCTCCTTTGCGTGATGCTAATCTGCGGTGATTGGTCCGATTGGATCATGCCTGTAATGCCTGATAAAGCAGCGTTTGTGAGCGCAGTGCTGCTTTGTGTACAATGTTACCGGGGAAACCGCTATTTTTACTGCTCCAAAAGCAGCACTTAATGGCATTTTCATTCAGACCAACATGAAAAGACCAACATATGGGCGAGCAATATGCTAATGTTTCATGTTGACGTCAACATGAAATGGCTTGGGATTCATTTTAAAAACCACTTGTTTCAATGATTCAGAGTCGACTCTTTCTTTTGAGAGACAATGACTTTATACACGGTGCACTTTCAGATTTAAAACTTTGCAGGATGTTTTCATTCACTTAGAGATGTTACACACTGCATGAAAGGTAATTTTCAAAAATCCATTATAGGAGGCACTTTATGTTAAAATGGAAAATATCAAACAATAGTATCCACTTGGGAAAGAATGCAGGGTTTTGAGCCTTTTGTTTTGAAACCTTGCCACAAAACACCGAAAAAGCTGCAAATCAAAGACAAATTAATAAAATAAAAGCATATATCCACCTGGACAAGAAGGATTTTGAGATACAGTTTATGAAAGTCAAACTTCTCAAGGGAGACACTGAAAAAGATGAGTCAAACTCATCTGTTTATAACGACTTTTACCATTTTTAACAGTCAATAAAGGCCTTCTGAAGCAAATCGATGAGTTAAGCACATACAACAGTTAGCGGAAGCTAGAGATTATGGTTTGTAACGTTTTAATATAGATATTTTCATTGCATCACTTCATCTAAGAAGGGATTAATTAACTCCCGGATCCATGTGGAGCACTTTTTATGATGGATAGACACAATTTATAAAGCATCGAAGAACCAAGACATTTTTTTAAATAACTCCAATTGCATTTGTCTGAAAGAAGAAAGTCATATACACCTAGGATGGCTTGACGTAAGTAAATCATGGGGTAATTTTCATTTTCGGGTGAACTAACCCTTTAAAAAAGCAGTGCGAGACAAACAAGCCAAAGTCAAAGACATCCATCTAGCGCAAGTTTACATAGACAGCAGTTAAAAGCAGCGCTGTAGAGTGCAAAAACACGTTCTGTGTGAACTACTTTTACATGTAATTTAAAAGTGCAATTTCAGTTTAGACTTTAGTCCGAAATTGTAATCTGTTTTTTAAGCGAAGTCGTCCTAGCAGATGTAGGTAATGTGATTGTAGCTCAACTTCGTCCAGCATGTATTAATGTCAAATGTCAGTTGACTTCGACATTGTTTGAAAGCTCTAAACGACAAAAGTGTTGTGCGATGTGTGTTTAATCCACTCAATTACACACCTATTTTTCGACAGATATATGCTGTAGCTTGACTACGCAAAACCGTGCATTAGTTTGATTACAACTGCACATGTAAACAGTTACATTGAATATTTATAAGATAAATATAAATCACTCAAAACACAAAAACTTACTAAATTTGAGCTTAAAAATGTTTTGCTTTTTGATACAGTTCATGCTACTTAGTGGAGTGTCACATTGTTAGCTTAGCATCATGCTAACAACAAACTTGAGTCTACCATGTGCTTTTTGCATGAGAAGTGCTGTTTGTATGTTCATGAAAGTTGCTGAGTATAAAACATCTAAATTTAAAATCTGTTTTGGAACCTGTATTGGTCTGTCTGTTTGTGTGTCTGATGTTTTTGTGTTTTTATGCGTCATTCCTCAGGGAGCATCTGCGAGCTGGTGGAACCATCGCCACTTCCAGCATCACGCTAAACCCAACATTTTAAAAAAGGACCCAGACGTCAACTTGCTCAATGCGTTTGTAGTGGGAAACGTGCAGCCTGTGGAGGTACGGACACACCATCCACATGACACATACGTGAAGAAAATACTCGATCGGATCTGATTGGACTCTTTCTGTCTGTCTTTACTACAGTACGGCATTAAAAAGATCAAGAATCTGCCTTGCAACCATCAGCACAAGTACTTCTTCAGTAAGTCACTTTATGCCATAGCATCTACTACAGGAATGTTTACAAGCTTCTTACTGGAATTTATATCATAATTTGGATCACTAAGATCCTACTGGATAAACTGAAGCTTGTAAGGTACTATTTTATCTTTTAATCTTTAAATAAACAATTAAATATAGCTTATATTTAAATATTGCTTAATTTATATAAGTTGAAATTTGAAATGTATAAATAAAAACGTTAACTTATTTGTGTAAAATATACTATTATGTAAAACTTACTAGTTATTATGCTACAAATATTATTTTATTGTCCTTCAATGGCATTTTATTATATTATATTTATTATATAGTATATTATTTTAAAATATTTATATATTATATATCAATAGTATTACATTTTGTGTATATATCAATTTACTATATAATACTATAAATTTCATATTTATAAATTTACAGCTGTACATAACATTTATATCATTAATATATACTGTGTATGTGTGTGCGCGTGTGTCTATATAAATTAAAAATATTATATCATAATAAACATATTCACCAAACCTTAAATGTTTATTAAATATTTTGCCATGTATTAATAATTTGACAATGTGTTCCATTATTATCAAGAGTCCCATTTAGCACATTTTATCATGTCTATTTTGCAAATTTCTCTTTAATATTAGCACAAAATGTCTGATTATGAGTAGATTATGATTTTCACTGATTTTCTGTTCTATAGGACTAGTTATGATAGACACCATCAGCCAGGCATGTTTACCATCTGCTTCTGTTGTTATTTCTCAGTTGGACCTCCGCTGCTCATTCCGGTGTATTTCCAGTTCCAGATCTTTCACAATATGATCGCACATGGTCTTTGGGTGGTAGGTTACCACGATTGCTTTGACTCTTACCTTGTTTATGCAGCTGAATGTGATTTTACAGCACTTTCTCTGCCCTTATCTCTTCTCGTCTTATCTGTTTTAGGACCTTGTGTGGTGTATAAGTTACTACGTTCGCTACTTCCTGTGTTACACGCAGTTCTACGGTGTGCTTTGGGCGGTGCTTCTGTTTAATATCGTGAGGTACAAATAATAATTTCATTTACTACTACTGCTTTAAACACGTTTATTGTAGATTTAATATTCCAAATGTGTTCTCAATGGCCGAAAAGGCAAATTACCCTCACTAATAAAAAACACCATGGTATTACCATGTTTTTTTTTCACATGGTACTTAAGGTAGTACCATGTTTTTTGCACTTGTACCATGTAGTGCCAAGCTTTTCTTTCACTTACCAAAAATGATCTTGGTACTATTAAGGTTTTGTGGGGCATTTACCATAGTACTACCATAGTATTTTTGGAGATACCTTAGTATATGAATATAATCATTCAGTACTAGTACTAGTGAGAGAGAGAGAGCGAGAGGTGGGCGTGTCCTTCTGATCTCTTTGATTGCTCACAGCTGCAGGTGTGTAAGAGGTTATAAAGCTGTGTGGTGGATCAGCGTTTACTTCAGTGACGTCAGATCACAGTGTCTTTTCTTCAGATCTTTTGTCTTTATTTCCCACTTCCCTGCAGTATAGTGATATAATAGTTCCTCTGTTCTCTACTCTTTTGTTTTATGAAGTTATATTTGAGTTTATTACTTTCAGAAGGATCTTTAATGGGTGTTGTATCCCAAAGAACCAGTTAATTTTGAGTTGATTTCTGTGGAATGTGTTTTTGTTTTTTTTTTGTTTTTGTGACAATCAGATCAGTCCTCTGATACTATGTAATGTTTTGTTAAAAATAATTTGAAATATTTTTCTGATTTCTGATCAGTGAGTTTCAGTTTTTTAATTAAACGTATTGGAAGTAGTGCTGGGCGGTATGACCAAAAATTTATATCACGGTATTTTTCTAAATTATACCGGTTTCACGGTACATGACGGTATTTTTTTTCATGCATGACTGGGTGTTAACCATATTTTCTACTGATTGAGAGAGGAAATACTGCAGTATATTGACTTAGAATGCCCTATTTTACTGTCATGATGAGTGAATATTGTCAAAAAATACCACACTAAATAGTGACTAAACACAACCCCTTTTAATATTAACCAGGAGTCACTCTCATTTATAACCGCGGCATCGTCTGATAAAATCAACATGCATCTACACTAAAGAGCAGCGGCTATGCGGTTGTTTTGGCTATATTACTTTTTTGTCTCATGCAGCGCACTGCCTGCATGAGTGACTCATGACTGTATTTTTTGACAATATTCACTGAGTAACAAACTAAAAAAAACAACAAACAAAAACGTGCATGTGGTCAATGTGGATATTGTGGATGAGTTCTTCTGTGTCATCACGTTCTATTAGTTCTACAGCTTCAGTTTCGGAACTTTCACGCTTAGTAACACATACAGCTGTGCCCTCACCACAGTGCAACAGTGAAAAGGGACCTCTTTCAAACAGTGTCGCATTCCGAACGTTGTTTAAGTGACATACACCAGTATTACGGTATTTAAAAAATTCATATCATAACAAAAATAAACACCGGTATTCGGTATGAACCGGTATACCGCCCAGCACTAATTGGAAGTCAAGGAAAAAAAATTACATCAAATTGGTGGAAGATAAATTTGGTCTAAATCACTTTTACCGTACCAATTACCGTAGCACAGATACCAAAATTATAGTTTTCATGACAGATTTAGTTAAACAGACATTAAATAATGAAGACATCACTACCAGGTTAAGTAAAAATATAAAGCATATGTAATATAGTGCATGTATTTATCAAAATCCTCCTCTTTAGAGTTGTTTTTTTCTAGTGGACTATCAAGCTTTGGACATTGAATGGCTTTCCTGGGGTTATATGACCTTATATACACACTATTTTATTGACATCTTTCTGCAGGTGAAATGCACATCAACTAAAGGCACTGACCAAAAGATCATGCCAATAAAAAAATCTATTAAAAAGGAGAAATCGATATTGTCAAGACAGCCTCAGTGTCCACACTGCTTGACAGTGTTACCTGCTGTAGTTAAAATGCAACATCAGTAAAACACTAATTATATGTTCCCACCTCAGTCCTTTAAAACCATTTCAGCTGAAACTTTGGTACATTACCAATTACTAATTTCCACATTAAATTTTCTTTAAATGTTCTGCCGTTTTCCTCATGTTTTAGATATGCTTAAAAATACCCATATATCAATGTACCTTGTTTTACCACCAAAAAAAAAAAAAAAAAAAAGACTTGAGTACTGTTTTTGAGAGACAGTTTGTTGATTTGGATAGGAGTACCAAAATAATGACTTTACATACTTTGATACTAACAAAGCCATTGAGTTAGTAGGTATGTTTACATGCACTCATTTTTGTCAAACGGCATGAATTCAAACTGATTGAAGATTCTGAAAGTTTTGTTTATATGAATCCTAAACATTGCAATCCAAGTCACATATTCATTGTGCATTACATGTATTCCGAACAAAACCACCGCGTTCAGAGAAAGTCAGCGCATTAAGTACCATTTTTTTATTTGGCGCAATTAAAAAGAAAGCTGACATATATGCCAGACAAGCTTTTTTTTTATTTGAGAAAATATTGTAATTCAAGCACAGGGCTGTCACAATATCAGATTTTAAACTACACATTTATCGTGGCCACAAAAGTTCACCATTCTATCAGTCAAATTCATTTTTATTTTTCTCTCTTTTATACGAAGAATTGCACTAAACAGAAGAGACTAAAATGGTAGCTGTTTTTAGCTTAGTACAGCGGCTAAGTACAACGATTTATGAGAATAACAACTTTTTTTTACTCTAAACGAATGTTTTAAATAACTTCATTCTGTGAACCGATTCTTATTACAGAATGCAGAAATTATATTATTTTATAGTATTCTGTACTGTGATAAAAGTTAAAAAGATAAAAAATGTCAATTAGCATTACCTTAAATACATGCCCTTATTAAAATACCAGAGATGGCTTGAAGAACACAGATAAACCATATACTGTTGCAGTTGTGTGCTTTTATCATATAAAGCATCTTTATTCTGCATTTTATTCATCTACAGTGATAGCTGGATGCCTACATGGAATTTCCTGGAACGTCAATTAAATTTTATCATTACTCATATGAGTCTTGCTTGTGGACTTTCTTTCCGAGGGCGCCCTCCGGCGTTGAGTACAAATGAAAAAAATTACGTGAGCATTTAGCACTCCATAATGGCGCTGGATTATAATAATTTTATTATGTACTATTAATTTATTTACCGGTATATTGTGACACCCCCAGGCAACACGATTTCATTATTTAAGTATCACGATTATCGCTACACCCCTATATCAAGTGTGTCATTTTTTCCCGTTAATCAAATTATTACAGGTGTACACCACCCGATCAATTTCATTCGGTTTGTACTCCGTTGGATTGATTGAGGTGTTTACATGAAGGTTTTTCAATCTGAGTGAGCCATGAATCCAATTATCAACATTATTTGGTTACAAGTAAACATAGCTAATGATTATTGCTCTACAAAGTATTGTACGACATTACCTTTAATTAGGGAAATTACAGTCAACCATTTATGTGGATTTTAGCTTTTACTTTGTGTGATTTTACAATTGATATTTTTGTTACACAACTTTAGAGCCATCTAACGATTAATCGCTATTACGTTACGTTTATTTATTAAATATATTTATATGTGATATAAATTATATGAATATAAATATATACATGTAAATATTTTCAAAATATATATACTGTATGTGTGTGTATTTTAGGGGTTGAACGACTTCTGATTTTTTAAAGTAAACTTTTATGTGATGAAAGTAGCGTCGAAGTCGACTAGTCGCTGATGACGTCATTAATGAACAAATAAGTCTGGAGCTGTGACAAACACCTTGTGCACAGCTATGGCATATGACACAGTGCTGCCCACATGTCTATTGCTCCTATAACAGCTCATTTTTATCAGTTCTTTTGTCTTTGGGTCGTTATATTTCTCACAGATTTCTGCTCGTTCTAAATCAGATACAGATAAAGTAGCACAGTAAAGATTACATTAATATGAATGCATTAGTGAGAGCGATTGCGTGTGTGAATTAATTCTACCTGGCAGCGTCTCTCTACTAGTAGTGAAGCTGTGGAATTTAGTTAAGAAATATATGCTTGAACTTTTCAGTTTCTAAGCTATTTTATTGAGAAATCACATAACGGTGTTGACAATACATTTCCGCGCTGAATGATTCTGTGCACACGCGATGTGTGCGTGATGTACGCGCTACTGTCTGTAGCCTATGTGTGTGCGTTACAGTGCAGCAGCGCATTAGATTAGAACGGTGATTAACTTACCTGTACAATAAGCAGTTTAAAACGTGCATTCTCATGTTCAATTTCGAGCATCCAGTAATATAATCACACATGTCTTGTGAAACGCTTTCAGAGTATGCATTTATTTGTCATTTGAACTGTTTGGAAACTGAGCGTAAATGTGGAAGTCCTTCAAAGATTTCTTATCCTGTTGCGCCCTCTATAGGACCAGCAACTAGTCGACGTCAAACTTAAAGCGTCATGGCAGAGCATTGAAGTCGATTAGTCGGTGCAACCCCTAGTGTATTTATATATACATAATATATGTGTATGTACTGTGTATATGTATTATGTAAGCAAAAACTTTTATTTGGATGCGATTAATCGTTTGACGACACTAAATATAATGTTTTGACAAGTCGCATGACTGTGGTGTGAAATGTGTTCCTGTGGGCCGCAGGTTCATGGAGAGTCACTGGTTTGTGTGGGTGACCCAGATGAGCCACATCCCCATGGACATCGACTACGAGAAACACCAAGACTGGCTTATCATGCAGGTACATTCTGAACCGTCACGGCCGCACTGGGTTTGAAGTCTTTCTAGCATGCCAACTCTATGTGTTTCTGTCATTTAGCTGGTTGCAACCTATAACATCGAGCAATCCTACTTCAACGACTGGTTCAGCGGACACCTCAACTTTCAGATCGAGCACCAGTAAGAAAAACAGAAGTAGTTTCAGTGCAAAAATGGCTTCACTTTATCTTCTGCATTTCACAACTGTGATTTGATCTTGTCCCAGTCTCTTTCCCATGATGCCTCGGCACAATTACTGGCACGCCGCTCCACGCGTGCGAGCGTTGTGTGACAAATACGGAGTCAAGTACCAAGAGAAGAGCTTGTATGAGGCCTTTGCGGACATCATCAGGTATGATGCACACCTGAAATCTCATGACGTGACCTTCAAAAGGCGCTCTTGCTCCGAAATATTCCTATGTAACAACACTGACAAACAATTTCATCATCTGTTGTGGTTGGGGTCAATTTGGCCCAGACTCGGTTTTCAAACAGCTTGAAATACAGGTTAACCCGTTTACTTTTTCGTAAAATTTGGTGAATACTTCTCATTTAGGGTCATGAATGTGCATGCAAAGTTTCGACACAGACGTATTTTGGAAAGGCAGTACAAATTTGGTTTGAGTCATATTGACTCCCCGATTGATTTCCATGCAATTTGCCGAACATAAACACTAAAGAGTCAGGTAAAAACCAAAAAACCCTTATTGTAGCTTGTCAAACACTAAAATATGAAATACATGAGAACTTATGACATTTAAGACTTACTCAAAACACTCCAGGAAAATTCAGTGTTTTTCTAGTTGAGTTTTACAGTCAAAAAGCTTGTTTTTGTTAGTTTTTTGGATCGCAGTTACTAGACTGTTGCAGCGCTGGAAAAAAGTATGAGAAACCCATTTTACTCTCTCTAATTTTTTAGAAAAAGATGACAAAGGCAGAGGAGAGGTACAAATAGCAGTAGATACTATTTAAACCAATTACAAATAATGCAAGATATGATACTGTAGTTATTTGCACCCTAGTGTGCAAACAGTCATTATAAGTAGTCATGAAAAAATATATATACACCGAACAAAATTATAAACGCAACACTTTTGTTTTTGCCCCCATTTTTCATGAGCTGAACTCAAAGATCTAAGACTTTTTCTATGTACACAAAAGGCCTATTTCTCTCAAATATTGTTCACAAATCTGTCTAAATCTGTGTTAGTGAGCACTTCTCCTTTGCCGAGATAATCCATCCACCTCACAGGTGTGGCATATCAAGATGCTGATTAGACAGCATGATTATTGCACAGGTGTGCCTTAGGCTGGCCACAATAAAAGGCCACTCTAAAATGTGCAGTTTTATCACACAGCACAATGCCACAGATGTCGCAAGTTTTGAGGGAGCATGCAATTGGCATGCTGACTGCAGGAATGTCCACCAGAGCTGTTGCCCGTGAATTGAATGTTCATTTCTCTACCATAAGCCGTCTCCAAAGTCGTTTCAGAGAATTTGGCAGTACATCCAATTTGGCAGTACCCCTAGCACGATCGAAATAACACAATAAAAAAAGAATAAATTTCTCACAACTTATTTTAAGTCTCTGAAAGTGTTTTTATTTTATTTTATTAATATTTTCACCTGAAAATAGGCTAACTTCTGTCAACATAACCAACGTGACCACGTACTTGCACAGGGAGCGTGCTGGGGGACTATTTTCAGGCACTGCGTTTAGTTATTTTAGTTAAACAAAATATTATTGAAGTTTAATTTATTTCAAGTAATGAAAATGTTCTTGTTTTTGTTTTTTTATATGGTTTTTAGTTTTAGTTAACTATAATAACCCTGGTCTGTAACAAGCTATAATAGGGGGTTTCTGTTTGTAAATTAATCTTTAGTGTTATTTTATTTTTTTATTTTATTTTATTTTGCAAATTGCATGGAAACCATTGTGGGTCAATTTAATCCCAAACACAGTTTTTGCACACAACAGAAGAGTTTGGGACATTTACTGAGTGAAACCAGGAAAAACATAGTGGGAGTTGATTTTATCCATTTGGGAATTGATTGGATTATGAAGTGTCTATATATGAATGATTCATACTTATTAATATTCATATTTTGCATGCATTCACTGGCAGATGCTTCAGCACTAACTACCATTACTCTCCTCTCAGGTCTTTGGAAAAATCTGGAGAACTCTGGCTGGATGCGTACCTCAACAAATAAAACCTCACTTCTGCTTGCATTAAAAAATGAAAAGCTGAGCAGAATCCACCAATCAGAGCAAGCATGTCGCAGAATAGGCGTTAAAAAGTCTCGTAACTAAAAGACCAGTCTATCAGATTGTCAAAATGACACGTAGCACTTCTGTTTTTGGTGTTTGAAGGGTAATTGTGGCACTTTGAATGTGTTTTAAAGAGACTGAGATGTATGTGTCTCGCTCCTAGGACATATCTGAAGGTACAAGAACGTGCTTGAATGTACCTGGAAGTTGTGTGATTGCTGGATTACAATCGCTGAATTTTAGATTTGCATAGTTGCTAGATGCATTGAATATTTTGAGGGTAATTTCTGAGGCACAATCTTTTTAGTAGTCACTTTATTTCTGAAATTTACAATACAGTGATTTGGTTTTTATAAATAACATTTGGAGAAACTAGCAGAGGATAATACTACTTCCGGTTTAATATGACATTTAATTTGATTTCCTACAATTGTTATCTGATTAAACTGATTAAATCTCATCTGTGTGTCTTTTTAAAGTGTCTCTATTGTGATTAAACCACATACTGTAAGATCAAAGTCTCTAAATGCGCTTTATACAAATAAAAAAAAAGACGTGCATGAATCCAGCTGATAAATATACTGTTCTCGCTTCATTCATTCGATATAATGATCAGCATCGGAACATGCATGATGCGACTGAATTTAGCACATTATTTACATTTGTTTCTTTCAAAAACCAATGTCACAGATCAAACCCCAGAAAACATTCACTCCGCTCAGACACGGGTGAATCTCACCTGTCAACATGTACGAGTCACACTGAACCACTACAAGAAAGATGTGTATTTTGCTTAAATTTACATTTTTGCACTATACATATTGCATTTCACCTCCGCTTAAAACAAGAATCATCAAAAATGACAAACTCAAAATGTGTGCATTTGAGAAGCTGTGGATAAAATGACACGGAAATGCAAAAGTAACAAAAAAGGGTCCTTAAATAGTCATTTTTCTTTCATAATTTTTCTTTGGATTTTGAGGTGACAAGTCACTGTACATGCTATTTAATAATTGAGAATTACATAAAAACTCTAAAGAAAAAGTCTACTTTGAGCAATTGTGGTTAAAATGACATGAAAAAGCAAAATGTTAATAGTCCTTTATTTTTATCGTTCATAATTTTTCTTTTAATTTTGAAGCATGACCTGTACATGTTTTCATGAGATTCACCCATACATTGTTTTCATGCAATAAAGAGTAGTAAGTATTTTCCAGCATGAACCAGATAACATATGTGGATAAATTACAATAAGGTCCGTACATGCACTAATAAAAAGCACCAACAATAAATACACAATTAAAAAATATATTGGATTAGACGTTTGGTCGACGGTGTGGCTGAATTTCATTGGTGGGTTTGGTTGACGGTTACTGTTACCAGGTGACTGTTTGATTGACAGTCTGTGTGAGCGTGTTTAGGGGGCAGATGAAATTTTCTCTTGTTGTTTAGTCAGAATCTCTTGCAGTTCTGAATCTCCTCGACTCTTCTGATGGAGAGAGAAAAGACAAATGAGAAGAGTTCTGTGGTGCTGAGTGCAGTCTGTGTGAAGTGTCACTGACCTCTAGTTGTGATTTCTGGACGGTGATCTGGCTGAAGACACGAGATCCCTCGTCTCCACACACGGTCTTCAGATGATCTTTATTCAGAGAGAAGAGCTGCGCGCCGGTCAGGATGCCCAGACGCTCCACCGTCCTGACAGACAGACAGACACACAGCATGGACTTATTTCTCAACATTTGTTACTTTTTGCATTTCATGGGATCTTTTTTTTGATTATTACATTTTGTTTACTATCGCTTATTTTTATTTGAATATCTTTCAAAGTTTAGAAAGCTTAATGAGTTCTCAGGGGAAAAAAATCTTTTTAATTTCATTTCATTTTAATGTTTTCAGTTTAGGATTAATGAATATGTTTAAAACATTTAAAGGGGTCATATGATGCGATTTAAATTTTTCCTTTCTCTTTGGAGTGTTACAAGCTCTTGGTGCATAAAGAAGATCTGTAAAGTTGTAAAGACTAAAGTCTCAAATCCAAAGAGATATTCTTTATAAAAGTTAAGAGTCAGCCACACCTACCTAAAACAGCTCGTTATAACACGCCCCCACATGTCTACGTCACGATGTGGGAAGATTTGCATAACGCCGCCCAAATGTTCACGCAAAGAAAGAAGGCGTAACTTTTATTCTCGCTGTAGTATAGTTGTTGCAGCTGCCGTCATGTAGTGAAGGCCCTGTGTGTTTCGTTGTGAAAGCGAAACTACTTTGTTTGGCCTTCCAAAAATGGTATGACAGTATGACAGTATGATGCAGGCTTTTCAGAGAGACTTAACGATGATGCGCTGAGTCTGACTAACTAATATTAGTGTGGATCGATATACAACCCTCTACGGACACCTTGGCAATTGAATCTCCATTGGCTAGTACATTTTTTTGTTTACTTGCCAGACTGAAATACTATACTATACTATACTATACATAACTTTATATATATATATATATATATG